CTAGCACCTACTGAAACTATCCAGGGAAGTAATATACACACATTCCTATTAAATAGTTTCTGTTAAGAAGTAGATACAAACTCATCCACGTCCACACAGCTTCTTTCAAAGTTTCTGCAGCCCCCTTTTTTAGTTTTCAGAAAGTCTCAGGACTTTCGACAGGTGGTATAATGTCTGCACAAACCCCAGTAAGGACTGGACAACGCACTGAATAAGAAAAGAAAATCACACATTTGCCAAATCTATAATGAAACCTACAAATACATAAAATAAGGAAGTAAGGGACTAGGAATATAGGTCAACTGGTAGATTGCTTGCCTATCATGCACAAGACCCTGGATTGACTCACCAATACTGAAAAAAAAAAAAAATCTAAAGGACCAGCAAGACTGCTCATCATATAATGGACCCTGTCATGAAGAAATGGCAACCTGAACTCCATCTCCAGACCCACACAAAAGCTAGAAGGATATAACTAACTCTAGAGTTGTCCTCTGGCTTCCAAACACATATCATAACACATGCACACACACACACACACACACACACACACACACACACCATATACATAGCTTAAAAATGTTAAGAATACTAATGATAACATCTCAGAACAGATTTCGCATTTTTAAAACAAGTCAATTCATGCCAAAAATTAAAAAAAAATGTATTTTAGAACCTTATGTATAGTAAGATTAATAACAAACAGCAATCCTGTGAAGCAGTGCTCATTACTCCTTATTACATGTTGATTTTACTATGGTACTGTGGTATTTTACTAAATTAAAAATAATCTCCAAAAGTCATTCATAACGTTCACATAACATGTTCTCCAAATCCTATGTATAGAATATTAAAGCTCTCCACCACAAATTCTTAAATATCAGGGTAGTTTTTAGAAATCTAATCCTTACAATGCATGGAATAATGGCAAAAACTTGCCGCCATGCAGAGTACATGTATGTGTGCATGTGTGTATGTGTTGGAACTGAACTGAATTCATAATAAAAATAGCTTGCCAGGCAGTGACGGTGTACACCTTCAACCCAAGCACTCAGGAGGCAGAGGTAGGTTGACCTCTGAGTTTGAGGCCAGTCTGGTCTACATAGTGAGTTCCAAGACAGCCAGGGCTACACAAAGAAGCCCTGCTGTCCCCCTCACACACACAAAAAAAAAATTAAAAATAAGTAAATAAATAAATAACTAGAAGGATTGCTCCCATTCTGTCAGACCAAAAGTACTGAAAATGAATAAGGTTACTCCTGAGCCAAAGTTAGCATCAAATGAAACAAAAAAGGACCTCAAGTAGTCACCAATGACAAAATGATCCTATACACAACTATTATTATCATAGTGTATTAATGTGTATACATATCCTAACTATAGTCAACACAGACAATATAGTATGAATATACTATGACTGAGATAAAAATATTTCTGCTGAGGAAAACTCCAGAGGTACTTGTTAGCCCTGATACAAAAGAGAAGGAGGAAGTAGAGTTTACTACATGACCACTTAAGTCTCTTCTGTCCCCATGGAGACTCCTGTCTTCTTGGCACTTAGCAGCTAAGAAAGGAAATTCAAGGGTTTGTGTTCTGGGTTATAAACCAGGACTCTGTCTCAAAACCTTAAAAAAAAAAAAAAAAGAAAAGAAAAAAGCAACCCAATGATTTTGTAAATATGATCAATGTAACATAAAATGAGTTAACTTTTAATCAGCAAGCATTCTTTAAAGATAATTTTAGAGATGTGTTTTTATTACTTAATTCTTAATATTTCCAAGAGTACTCCCTAGTTGTTGCTCTAATTTCTTCTTGATAAATTTCCTTTTAAAAAGCTTTACAGGATATCTAAACGTTCTAGCTTTGATGCTATGCTTGTCAAAAAGTACTAATGTGAAATGAATATGTCTCACCAAGGAAGCTGGGTCCGACGCTATGAGAAGTTACTTTTTTGAATCTGATCCTCTGATAATAGCTGGGTCTATGTGTGTGTTTGTTTATTTTGATCTCATTCTTTAGACCAGGCTGGCATGGCAATCCACCTGAATTGGCTTCGTGCACACTAGGACTATAGTTTCATGAACACCACGCCCTTCCCACGCATTTCTTTTATCATTTCCATACCTCACCCCCAATTAAAATGACAGCAAGAAAGCACTAATTTTTAGTGGTAAAGGTGCCTATAAGGAAAGGAGGAAATCAGTTCTTTTCAATCTTGCAGCCAACTAGAAAAGCCTAAAGAAATCTAAAACATGCCAACGTTCTGGCTCAATCACCACATTCAAGTATAAATTAGTTGGGTAACATCCTAAGAAAATGTTAACAGGGATTTGGGCTGAGCGCCACTGGTAGAAAAATGTTCTCCAGGGCCCTTTCTCTCCACTCATCTACTAACAAAGTGTTAACACTCTCAGGTCTATAAACACAGTCTTATAAATACACTTTTCTTCTCTTACGACAGGGGGAAAAAATATATAGAATAAGATCATTTTTACTTATTTGACTTTGCGGGGGGGGGGTTGTTTTGCTTTTTGGGTTATTTTGAGACAGGGTTTCTCTGTGTAACAGTCCTGGCTGTCCTGGAAACCTCTTTGTAGACCAGGAAGGCTTCAAACTCACAGAGATCTACCTGTCTCTCCCAAGTGTTGAGATTAAACGTGTACATCACTATTGCCCAATAACTGATTTTCTCATCCTAAATACTCATAAATTATTTGTCTGCTCTTCAAAAAAAAAAAACAAATAAAAACAAAACAAAAAACTTTCAAAAGGACAGTATTTAAGATAATTAGCAAAGCATACAACACATACTCCATTTAATCAACTAACTTTCAACAGATCAGAAAATATATGAAAGAATGACTTTTTAAACTGGTGACATTTTAATACCTTATCAGCAATAAGCATTTATAGAATCTCAACTATATAAAAGATATTTTAGTCACAATATACCTTGACATTCACATACTAGAAATGAACTCAGAAAACAATCTACCATTTGCTTGGATGAAAATTGGTATCACAAGAGTTCATGTCTTGAAGAATTAGATTTAGGAAGTATTGCAGGTGGTATTATTACTTTCAGATCCCAGGAGTGAATACATAAAAATGCTTTATAAACCTTTGCACCAACAAATGCCACCTATCCAACAACTAATGCCTGTAGTTACACCTGCAAATTGGTGCCAGGCAATCCCTGATTACAATTTCATTATAAGGACTCACAGTCATATGTGCACAGCATAAGCCATACATAAGATGAATGGGACAGGATGAAGGTTCTCTCTTCTCCACTACTTTACCGAACATATTTGCCTACCATATGAATGTGCAATATTCACCGGTAGAGGTATTTCAAAGAAATAGAAAATAAACATGACACAGACTGGGTATAAGGGGAAAAAAGCATTTTCACTTCCCTTTTCACAAAGGAAATTCTGAACATAATTTTAGCTCTAAATATACCACATTCTAACACATTGTCTAGTACTTTTGCAAATCAAATCTTAAAAAATATACAACACAATCATTTCAAAATACTGTGTATGAAACCTATTACTTCTAGAAAGTACATTTATACGAAAAGGTGTCACATGGCCAATCTCAACTTAAAACTTCAGAGGTCTATTGAGATGGCTGCAATAGCATGAGGAGCCGAGTTCAGGTACCCGGCCCTATGTAAAATGCTGGTCATGGCAGCAGCGCAAGCCTGTGATCCCAGCATAGGGTGGTGGAGGGGATATAACATAGACAGGTAGATCCCAGGGGATCCTAACTGAAACAGCAAGCTCCAGATCTAGTAACACACACTACCTCAAAAACATATGGGGCTGGAGAGATGGCTCAGCATTTAAGAGCACTGACTGCCCTTTCAGAGGACCCAGGTTCAATTCCCAGCACCCACAGGGCAACTCACAACTGTCTGTAACTCCAGTTCAGCAGATCTGACACCCTCACAAAGACAAAATGCCAACTCACGTTTTAAAAATATTTAAATAAAGTAGTTTCTCAAAAAAAAAAAAGGCCAAGTGGTCGTGGTGCACGCCTTTAATCCCAGCACTTGGGAGGCAGAGGCAGGCAGATCTCAACGAATCAGAGGCCAGCCTGGTCTAGCCTGATCTACAAAGTGAGCTGCAGGACAGTCAAGACTGTTACACAGAGAAACCCATCTCAAGAAACCAAAAATAAAAAATGGTGAAGAGAAAGGTGGATACCTGAAATTAAACTCTAGCCTCTACAAACACACTCACAAGCAAATGCACTTGTGCACACATGAATACATACATACACATACACATACACTTGCGCACACACTCACACACAACTCAAAACTTTAAGATGTATCCAATTTTAAGAATCAAAAAAATATGTATCAATACATTCAAGGAACATTTGTTTCATGGTATTACATGATGGTAATAAAATTATGTGTAAAAATCCTAATCTGGCAGAAAACATTCCTTACTAGAAATCTATTCTCTTTACTCAAAAAAGATATATGTATGCATGTACATGTATATACACACATATACACACACACATACATACACACATATGTACATTAGATAAAGAAATGCACAGACACAACTGAAAATTCAAATACAGAAATATACTAAAAGGAGAAAAGTAAAAATAATTCTAAATATCACTTTATAAATAACTTCCATTAACATATTCTTTGGGGAAATAAACAGTGAATATATTTACATACACACATACATATCTATCTATGCCTTTCTTTTACATACAATGAAGAAAGGAAAAGTCTAATATAACTTTCTTCAAAATGGAAATATGTAAGCGGTTAGTTATATCTTCATTCTGCTTTCCATTTTCACCGAAACAAGTCAAGTTTAAGACTATTCAGTGAGTGCATGACGCACAAGTATACACCTCAGTGATCATTACTGCTGCTTATTTGAAGGGAAATTTTTTAAAAATCTGTTATTTAGAAAAAAAAGCCCTCGGCTGCCTGCCTCCAAAGACTGAGAACACAGTACCTGTCCTAGAAAGGTCCAGCTGACTCACCAGCAGTCACAGACTGAGTCTGCACTGCAGACAGGACTCCTCTGACGGCCTCCCACCTGTCGGTCAGAAGGGGATGACACTAGTAATTTGGAGATGAGAGTTCTACTAATCAAGCGCATGACATCAATATTTCACTCAACCTTCCCATGACTCACTCAATTTTAAAACTGTGATTCTCCCACGCCTCCCCTTCAACCCCCCCACTGTTTCTCCTGTTCTCAAATTTGGTAGGAAACCACCCTTTCTTCTTGTCATTGAGACCCACAATTTCAAGTTTGTCTGACTTTCTTGTTTTGTTTTGTTTCCACAGAGTACTTACTCTCCACTTGGGGTGAGGAACAAAGTAGTCTAGTGAGATCAAAGGTGTAGGCAGTATTTTGAACAAGGACCAGAGGGCAGTAATTTGGTAAATAATTAAATTAATATATTCATGATTTTTTTATTTGAAATCAGAGTAGCTTCAACAGTAGTACCATGTAACGCATAAAATCTTACTACTTGGATAACCTCTTTTAGAGTGTCAAGTTAGTCAGTTTAAAACTAGCAATATTTTTAGTACTGAAGAATATTCAGCCCAGAGCACATTTAAGACAGCAACATGGCCATTTTCATCCATCGCATCTGCACTACACTGTGGAGTTCAAAGTGCACTGACATGCAATATTTTATTTCAGTCTCAAAACAAGTAGGAATGGTCACTATTGACTGTATCTCTAATATTCATTTCCCCATTCTTCCTTCTCACGCTATTTTCAAAATATTTTCTCTCCCCTGTGTAACTGCAGAACAAGGGGTATATCCTGACTAATAAACACCAAACATAACTCTATTTCATTGTCCTAACTGGATAAAACAGGTGCACCATTAATTCTGATCAATAAAATATGAAGGAAAAATATACTGGTAGGCCAGTGCTAAGGTTTTTCTCATTTGGGAAGGATGAAAGAGGGCAGGCAAGCAAGCTCCACTCCCTCCTCTGCCAATGCAAGTCTATAATATGATCTGATAGCAGTCTAAGGATGTATTGAGAGCACAGATAAGAGCTGGCAAAGTCACAGAAAGGCAAACTACTCAAGACTCAGCCTTGAGCCTTCCCAATTCAATGTTGCACATTGCTGTACATTCTGAAGCAGTGGATCCCACATACGCAGCACATCTCTGTATATTTCTCAACCTGGACCTTGTTATTTTTTAACTGCAAATTCTCCTTTTCGACTTGAGCTAAGTTAGGCAGGTCAGCATAGCAATCTTCAGCCATCAAACCAGCATGCTTTGCACCACATTCAAGTGCTCCTGATAGACATCAAGGGAGTGTTATTTCTACTTTCTAAGAACAACCTCGCCTACCAATTCACCCTAGCAGTGCCTACTTAACTTGAAGAGCTACTGAAATGGTAAGGCTCTACTCCAATGCTGATACTGCATAAAACCTGAAAAATAGCATACGAAATCTGACCAAGTGTAGTTTGCACTACTTTATGCAATCACATGACTAGATATTTAAACAATGTATTCTGAGAAATGACCTTCTGGTAGAGTCAGGAAAACCAGAATTTCCTTTATGTCTTAGAAGAAGATGCAGTCAGGCAAAGTGGCTCAAGCCTATAATCTTGGGAAGGTGACAGACAGGACGATTTGAAGTTCAAGATCAACCTGAGCTACATAGTGAATTCCAGGCTAACCTGCACTACAGAGCGAAATCATCTCAAAAAACAAACAAAAAAAGCAGAAACAAACAAACAAACAAAAAACCTAGTCATTAGATACTAAGGAAGTCTCAAAGTCGGTGTAATTAGATTTTTAGTAGGTTTCTCTTTGGCTTATTTATCAACAGATGTCAATTAGCATTAAAAAGATTTTTTTTAAAAATCTGCAGAACAAAAAGCTCGGGGCACTAAATAATTTACTGCAGCTAAAACAAAACAAGGTCTATTTACAGTGCAATCTTGCACTGCAGCTCACAACACTTAAGCAGTCTTACTATGGGATCTTTACAAATTGTCCTGGATTAAAATCATTTCATCCTCTCCCCATATTTCAACTGTAATTGATTTTACTACACTGTTTTTTCCAACGCAGTCAAATGGTTCTCATACACACAAGTTTCTGACCTGAGAATTTGCTGAACAAGGTTTTACTGCAATATGTGATTACAAAATCAAATGTAACTGCCACCGATAGTGGAGCATAAACACAAATGGTTCTTGGGAGGACAACGGTAGGAGTGAAAGTCGAGGGGAAACTGGAGTTGCTTACCGCCACAGCATGCAGGCTTTGCTCTATTCTTCAGGGAAAAGAGGTATCATTTAAGCTCAGGAGTGGGTTCAAGCAGAGGTCACTTAAGAGGCAATCTTCCTATAATGAGCCTCCCCAAGAGTCTTTGGTTATTCTATACACCAATCAGCCCTCTAACAATTGATACCTATCAGCAATTTCTGAAATAAAGCCCTATATGGCATCATACCTTGGCACTTTCACAACAATGTGCTCTATCTCAATGAAGAGCATAAAGGCAGAGTCAACCCTAACCCTCAATCTCGTCTCCACTCCTCTTTCCCCAACACGCACACCATCACACACACACACACACACACACACACACACACATACACAAAGTCAACTAAAACTAAAGATTCTTCTAGGCAATTCAGAACTGGCTAAACGCAAATAGAAACCTGAGCACAACTTCAAGTCTGACGTGACTATACTAGAGGAAAAAAGCATTAGTAGTTAAAGAAAAAACCTGATATAACTGATGTGATATTTCCGTCTTAAACCACTGAAAGCTACAAAAATAAAAGCCAATATGATTTAGCCACAAATTTATTAAACTTAATTCAAACTAGGTTGGCCAAAATGTATTTCTTCCTCCCCACAACACACTAATACTCATTGTTAGGAATGCTAAGGTGAGAGATTGGGATGGATGAGAAGATACAACCACTCAGGGTCTAGGAACATAACAGACGGGAACTTCAAACACAGTTTCTCAACCCCAACTTTGGGGTGAGTTAGGAAAACATGCCTAACAGTGGGTATCTAAAATAATCCCACATACACCTCTCTCCTTCAGTATTTGCTAGGCAAGCACTCCACTACTGAGCTATAACCCCAGGTTTTATTATATATTTTCTAAGAAGTTCCAGGCTCTCCAGAGTCCTTCCCCATTAACAAATTATGCATACTTGATTCGAAAAATGAGACCCCAAGTATGATTCTGTCTTGTGGATCCACACAACAGGAATGCTTATCACTGAAACTGTTTTCTGAGCCTACAGATTCCATGCAACTGGGAAAAGACATATATCCCCAAACTGCCACTTCCAAAGAGCGAGCTAACTTTCTTCTTAAAGAGCCAAAACTAGAACATACTAACGGTATCAAATAATGTCACTAAATGCCAACTGCTTGAATAAAGAAAAAGAATATGAAAGTTGAAGGGAAAAACAATATTGGTGACTATGGAGTCAAGAAAAAAAGGACACAAATATACATTGTTATTCCCAAGACATATTTTCAACAGCTTACTTAAAATCACTTAGACTTCCCTGGTCTCATAATGGGAGTCCCATCATTTAACTAAATCCCCCAGAAAAGTTCAAAGTGGTCTTACAAAAGGTAGACTTAAAAGTAAATTGTAGCTCGTTTTGTTTTTTAGGGGGAGGTTTCAAGATAATATAAATTCAGTCACAATGTAAGTCTTTCTAATATTAAGAGAGAAATTTGAGGGAAAAAACCTTCACTGTAACTTTTCTAGAAGCACTCAGAAACTGGTGGTGTGAGGGTGATATCTTTCTAAGCACTACTTTGATAGTGATTTGAAGGTTAAATTACTTTAGAGTTTATTGATACTTAAGATGACTAAAAGTGGGCTGGAGAGATGGCTCAGTGATAAAGAACATTGACTGCTCTTCCAGGGGAATCAGGTTCAATTCCCAGAACGGACATGGCAGCTCACAACTGTCTGCAACTCCAGGATCTAGCACACTCATGCAGACATACATACAGGCAAAAAAAACAATAAAATAAAAATAAAAAGATGACAAAAACCTCACATGATTACCTGGAACTGTGGTTATTCTCATTTTATCATCTTACTATCACAGTTAATTTTCTTCATGCATAGATTTTTTTCTTCATGACCCTTTTTCTCTAGCAAATCTCCCCTTCAAATGTATTCACAGTAACAGATTATGCAATGGCCTGCACTTTGCTGTGTTGTTTAATATTTCACCACTCCTTTTATTTAATTGTATATTTTGTTTGGGGGTGCCCTTTATAATTAAAACAATATTTGTTCTATTCTGCGAAGTTAAAAAAAAAAAAACTAAACCAAAAACTATACCATAGAAATGATCTGTTCTGTTCCCAGCAGGGAAAAGATTACAGGACAGATCGGAGGGAACACAGAAATAATTGGAGGGCTTCCCATTTCTCCCTGAGTCATTTTTACAGTCCTTATTTATTTCATGTAAAACCAATTACCAGATTACCAGACACACCCATAATCAAATGTAAGTAAAGAAAAATTATAAAGCCATGTATAAACTGATGTCCACTGTATACATCTGCCCCCCCCCCCGTAGCATAGATGACAGCCAGCTAACCATTAGGTTATAATTTGTTTCCTTAAACACAGCGTTCTTCTGTGTTCTCTTGTCACCACAGAAGAGACACATTTGAACCTTCACACCTCCAGCTGACTCACTGTTAAACACAAGGCCTTCTGAACCTCCATGGCCTGTTCTCCACCCACTTTCCCAGCTTCCTCTTCACAGCAGCTTCCCATCCAGCTCAACAGGTACCCTAACACCCAGCCACATGACAGCGCTCAGCCAGCCCCCAGCCCCCTGTGCCCATGAAAATATTTAAGGCCCAAACAGAGTGTCACAGCCCCACGCTCATTCCTAACTCCCTTCAAATTAGTGTCCTGCACACACACCCCATGCTTCCGTCCACCTCTAATAAAACCTACAGGAAGCTTGGGTTGCAATTATTTGGGAGCATGCCTGCTTCTCCCTTGAAGGTAGCTAGAGTCTCGGTCATCTTCATATTTCTACCCATTTTTCTAATAACTTCAAGTGGTAAGGGTTCATTAGATTATCCCTTGACTCTATTCCCAGTACTTGATTTTAAAAAGAGCAACAAATGACTTTCGTCATTAGCAGAATTGCGGTATACATTAACATTTGCAAATCTAATACTAAAAATGTCAATAATTACACAATTCATTAATTTTAAGCTGAGAAAAGAGGGGCCATGGAATACATAAATCATCAATAACCATTCCTCAAGATACCCCACAACATCAAAAAAAGTCTCTTCTATATCAACATTAAAAGCAAGGTGGAAAACTATTTAGTTATACTAACACTCAAGAGGACTCAGGAGGATAATGAATTCAAGTCCAACCCATGCTATGTAGTCAGACCCTGCCTCAAAAGTCCAAAATGAGAAAGTAAAGAAAAAAAACAAAATAAAATCTTTCTGTCCCCAAGTCCTATATGGATTACTTCTACATGATGCATATCCAGAAATGCAAGCTCACTTAAAGCAAATCTATACATTCTATTAAGAATGGAGGTGAAAGGCACACTGAATATGATAATACTCTTCTTCCAGTGCCTCTAAATAAATTAATCTTTGTGCAGCTAGGAAAGCTAATATACAAAATATAAAGTTTACCCTAGGGCAGAATACAGTGAAAGCAAAGTTAAGTAACCACTATAAAACGCTGTAAGCACATCTCAAAAATAAGCAATTAAGAATGTATAGCAAGCAAGGCATTTGATTTTTGTCATAATATATTTTCTTAAACCAGTCTCACGTCTAAATTTAATTATTCTTAAACAACTTTGTGTCTATTTTTCTCCCACCTTGGGTTTACAGGGAAAGCCAAGATTCCTCAAAGAAGCACACATTTAAATTTGATTTATTTCCACTTTCATTGTTCGATATCTCTACCTGTGGTCAAACGCCAAGTATAATCACAAGAAGCAATTGCAAGAATAAAAACAGTTTGTCTTCGTTTAAGTTTATTTTTCAAAGGTATTTCATCTTCTAACACTAAGTACCCGTTGAACAGACTGCTCCACCGGGGCACTGATCTAAGCCCGGATACTCATCCCAACAGAGCTACATACAACTCATGCCCAGCCTGGAGCAACAGTAGCCTGCTGCCACTCAGACTTCTCCCTCACCCTTTTTTAACTTTTCGTCCTGAAACACGGGGTGGGCGAACAGGAGTGATCGTAGACGGCACAGCCCGAACTCCCCCGACCCCAGCAGTACACAGGATCTCCATCAACACCCCGCACCCGTGAACCGCGGTGCCTCCTCCCCCGCGGGCGGGTAAACACACCAACCCGACCCCAGAGCCCGCGGCAGGCGCGTCGCCGCCTTCCCCGAACGGCTCGGCCGAGTTCCGAGTCGGCGGAAGGCTCGGCACACCCGGTCCCTCGCCGCCGCCTCGGCTCAGGGAAGTTGCTCCGCGCCGCCGCCGCCTCCT